TATTTTATGTGTATGCTTGTATTGCCTGCATGTATATAAGTGCACCTGTGTTGTGCAATGCCCACAGAGGACAGAAGAGGCTGCCGGATACCCTGGAACTGGAGTTATGGGAAGTTGTTAGCTGCCATGTGGGTTCTGGGATTCAAACCCAAGTCTTCTACAAGAACAGCAAGTGTTCTTAACCACTGAGCCATCTCTCCAGCCCTAAACTGTAAACTTCTTAATCTCCATTATCCTTTAAGCCAGGCTAGCCAAAAGGGCAAGCTTCAGGTTCAGAGAAAGACCCTGTCTTTAAAACCATGTGGAGAACAATAGAGAAAGATAGCTTATATCCACAGCCGGGCTTCTGCAGAGAGAGAGACAGAGAGAGACAGAGAGACAAAGAGAGACAGAGAGGCAGAGAGAGGCAGAGAGACAGAGAGACAGAGAGGCAGAGAGACAGAGAGAGACAGAGAGACAGAGAGACAGAGAGACAAAGAGAGGCAGAGAGACAGAGAGAGGCAGAGAGACAGAGAGACAGAGAAAGACAGAGAGACAGAGAGAGGCAGAGAGACAGAGAGAGACAGAAAAACAGACAGAGAGACAAAGAGAGGCAGAGAGACAGAGAGAGACAGAGAGAGGCAGAGAGACAGAGAGAGGCAGAGAGACAGAGAGAGGCAGAGAGAAAGGCAGGCAAAATTATTTAATAAAAATTAAACAAAATAGGTACCTCAGCTCTTACCTGGGCCATTCCAGTAGTGAAGGCAAAGGGGCTAAGAAAACACAAGATCCATTCCATAAAGGCAGGAAGATGTTTGTACAATGCTGTGAATCCCAGACTTCCCCAAAACACAGTAAGAAGAAAGACAGCCAAGCCAGTAAGGAAAGGTTTCTTTAACAGCACACTCATGAGAAAAGCTAAAGTTATCTAAGAAGAGAAAAATGTTAACTGGCATAGTTGTTTGAAAAGCATCAAGAGCTCAATAAAAGGAATTTCATATTTGGAATTTCACATCCAAACACCGATGTGAAAGGCTTGATCTCCAGTCCAAGGCCCTACGGGGGAGGGGGTGGAATGGATGATGGAATCTTTTAGGTAGGACTTCATGGAAATTTTTCATGTCGCTGAGGACTTGTTCTAAAAGGGAATTATGAACCCCAGCCCCTTCCTCTTTCTCTTTACATGCCCTGGCCATGAAGTGTGTGGCTGTGGTCTGACATATACTGCTGACTTGATGTGCTGCCTGGGCACAGGCCAAAAGCAACACGGCCAACCAACCCTGCTCTGAAACCACCAAACTACAGGTTAGAAACAACCTCTCCTCCTCAGTAGGTGATTGTCTCCGGTATTCACTATAGTCACGGAACGCTAACACACTATTATGAAAGTGTATTTCTTCCATTAACTGGAGACTCTATAGATATCGCCTTATGCAAATACTGCAGAGAACAGACGATGGAGCAACACGATCAGTGATGCATGATTGAAGGGAGAAAAATTTGACCAACTTACCAAAGACAGGCCGTAGAGAAGGAAAAGAAGAAAAACCACCACGAAACCAGTTAAGACAACAACTTGGGCAGATTTTACAACAAGAGCCATCAAAGTAGCGGTGACAAGAACAAAGCCAGCATACATCAAGCCCCAGGATAGCCTGGCAGAGAAACACAGCGTTGATGCAAATGTTGTCACTCTGTTGTTTTATTCCCTTACTTATTCAGCAAATGGTCTGTGAAGTTTATGTTTTGCCAATGACTATTTTTGTTTTTGTTTTTTTTCTTGAGACAGGGTCTCCCTGTAGCCCTAGCTGGCCTGGACCTCAGTGTGTAGACCAGGGTGGCCTTAAATTCACAGAGATCTGCCTGCCTCTGCCTCCCATGGGCTGTGATTAAAAGCATGTGCCACCATGCCCAGCTACCAAGGATTTTGTTAAGGTAGTTGCTAACAAATCAGAAAACTGCCTTTTCCTAAAGGTAATATTTTATAGGGAAAAGTATATAATTCAAGGGAACATGTACAATAGACAGCTGTCCTGGCTAGCTCTATCAGCCCAACATAGTCTAGAGTCATCTGAGAGGAAAGCCCCAATTTAAGAACTGCCTAGACTAGGTTGGTGTGTGGCATGTCTGTGAGACACTGTTATTAATTGATGCGGAGGACCCAGGCCACTGTGTGCAGGACCATTCCTACAGCAGGTGGTCCTGGGCTGTATAAAAAAAAATCTAGCTAGCACGATCCACAGGGCAAGTCAGAGAGCCAGCCAGCAAGCAGCGTTCCTCCATGGTTCCTGCCTCCAGGTTCCTGCTAGAGTTTCTGCCCTGGCTCCTCTCAGTGATGCACTGTGACCTGGAAGTATAAACTGTTTCTTCCACACATTGCTTCTGTCATGGTATTTAATCACAGCAACAGAATGAAACTAAGACATTGGTTAAGTGCAAACTGAGGAAGGCCTGGTCTGATCAATATGATGTGAGCAATGGGGAGAGATTCTGGGAAGCGTCTGTGAGGGCTTTTTCAGTTCTATACAACTTCTTTTGGTAAAATAATTATAAAAAGAAGAAGGGCGTTAAAGAGATGGTGCAGCAGCAGCCAGCAAGCCTCTAGAGAGGCAGATTGCATATATTTCAGGCTTTGCAGCTTAAATAATCTTTGTTACAACTCATCGATATGCCCTTCATAGCACAAAGGCCGTTACAGACAATCTATATACAATGTTGGCAGCATTCCAATAAAAATGTAATTGTAAACAAGGACATTTGAGCTTCCCATAAATTTTTGTGTTCTCAAAAATGTTAGTGCTCTTTTTATATTCTTCCCAGTACTGAAAGTGAAGAAGTCATTCCATATTTGCAAATTGCACAAAGGTAGTTTGCCAACCCTTTGATATAGATGTTTCCATGTTGATATACACATAAGGATAGGGCATGGAGAGGTGCAGGTAAGCAGATGGTCATGAAGATGTGTTTTGACTATTAATATCAGCAATGTAAGAAGGTTCACTACAGGTGACAGAGAACAAGCTTCCTAATCACACAGCCGTAAGGTTAAGTTTTCTCTGTAACATTTTAACTAGAGAATCCTGAGAGGCCGTTATTTAATTCCTTTAAACTTCAGGTTACACAACTGGAAAATAATAAAACAACTGAATTTGTTAAGTATTTTATGGATTTAATATGATGGGCTCATAAGAGACAGCTGTTTTCCTTGCTAATTTCCTTTCATTTAAAGTAAAAAAATTCTATAATCTCAAGAAATCTAGTTTTTTTCCTCTGTCCGATTGTAATGATTCCTAAAATTGATCATCTATCTACATTTTATAAACTTCCCCTTAATTTCATTCAGATGTTATACAAATAAAATACCATAGCCTTTTGCCCTGGGAGAAAAAAGCTCTGATTTTTCAAAATCTTTCCTCACTAGATTTAAAAAAAAATTATCACTTTCTTTCCAATGACTCTTCATTGTTTTTGTCATCTTTTAAAATACAGAAAACAAATTCCCTTCAGTTTTGAAGTACATCATCTTAAAACAAAGTGAGAGCAGAAAAAAAAAAATAACTCCTGTTGTAGCCAGACCAGTCCTTTCTACCCTGAGCATATGGTACACTTCTTTAGAAAAAAATTAATTTAGCATAAATCAGCCACATTCGATGTTCAGTCTTCCTATGCATCGGTGTTTCTCTTTTAAAGACCAGCATGTGCCTGGAACTAAGCATATCCTGCATATCTTGTTTAACACTGAGAATAATGTCTCAGAAAAAGAAAGGCAAATTCAAGATCCAAACCACCGCTTTCTGACCTGAGGATTCATTCCTTATCTCTCTAGCATATTACTTGGTTAAACTCAGGTTAAACTCTGCTTGCTAACCACTTGAACCTTAGTTTCCTAGCTTGCATCCTACTATTCTTCCAGGAGACACTGTTTTCCACACTTCTTAACTGATATCTTATATTGAGTGTTTAACTTTTCTCGACTGCTGTGTAAAACACTCTAAGAACAGTTTCTTTAATCCTCCAGACCAACAAGAAACAGGTACTAAGAGCCATGCTTTGCAGAAAGACAGTTTAAGTATCTTGTCCAAGGTGGTAGCCGCTACATATTGAGGTGAAGACAGCCCATGGCTTCCCACTGGCCAGGCCGCTGCTCTTACCACCCTTTTCTCCTGCTTCTGAAGCATGGTGCTCAGAGCACAGCATCTTTCTGTTCTCGGTGCAAAGTGGGGTCAAAACCCTTACCACTTTCAAGGGCTGGAAAGATAGCTCAGTGGTTAAGAGCACTGACTGCTCATGCGGGGGATCTGGGTTCGATTCCCAGCACCCACATGGCAGCTAATAACTGTCTTACTCCAGTTCCAAGGAATCTGATGCCCTCTGACCTCTGCATGCATTGCACAACATGGGGCATTTACATACATGCAAGCAATATGCTCATACACATAAAAAAACAAATAAATAAAAAAACCTTTAAAAAATTGTTAACCACTTTCAACATAGTATCTGAAATACGTATGTCATTGTATATCAGAACTGTAATGTCTCATACATATGTTTTGGTTCACCCAGACATAGTAACTGGTCAATGAGTCATGCTTTATGTTGTTAATGCCCTGAGGATGGCAAACACCTTAGAGTCAGGTTTTAAGTTAAAGAAATACAGAAAGTTCCAGTTACCGAGCATGTGAATCCACATAGTGCAATCACTTGTAATGTTCTAGTTTATGAAAGCATCAACCTAAACACGACAAAATAAGTAGGTCTAGGGAGTCCCGCCAGCTACATATTTCTGCTTATGCATGCTGCTTGGTGAATTTTGGACATGTGATTTACCAGAATGCAGACTCTCGAAGCCCCATCACTGCCATCAGTGACTTCATGTATTGTCTTTCTTTTGTAACACTGACTGACAGATAGTATATGAATGAAGAAAATGAAATAATGCAGAAGAAAATGAAAAAATCAGTTGTAACTCCTCCTTGGGCAATAAAAGGTAGTATCTTCATATTTGTGCCAATAACTGACATCAGCTCTTCCATTACTGAGTGATTTGTTGTGATCTAAGGAAAGATATCAATGAACAAATCATTATCATTTAGTGCAGCCACAAGCTTTTTTCCTCTGAATTGTAAGGAATCATTAATATTCACATTTCCTACACATATATATCTATAGGTGTATGCATTAAATATGCCTTCCATGATCGGACCCTTGTATTTCTTGGAATGGTCCAGGTTTTATCTTCACTCCTTTGACCATCTCTGCTTAGCATCGTCATCAGAAAAAAAAAAAAAAAATCCTAACTGGAATAGTACTTCAAACTAAGTTTTCTCTGGTGTTTCTTAGCAGAATATGTCCTGCTTCATTGTTTATGCAGCCCATGATTTATACAGTCCCGTGGTAAATGCTAAACCTTTTACAATGCCAGTATATCCATTCTTCTCCCTCTCCCATTACCAGAACCTCTGCATAAAAGTGACTGCATTCTGTGTACTTTCTAAATCCCCAGTATTTGCACAATGGTTTGGATACAGAAATTGTTTGGCATTCTGTGCTTAATGACTAAAAACAAATAAGTGACAATCTTTATCTCCGCCCATCAAAACTTAGTTTACAATGCACTGTTTCCTTTCATTTAATACTCACTTCTATGATAGCAGCATTAATGGCAGCTTGAAAGGCTACAAAGCCTTTCTCCCAGAAGATCGAATTCTCACATGTTATTTTTTTGTTCATTTCTTGACAGTGAGCTTTGAGAAAAGAAGATACACCTATTATTATGCAACCAGACACTCCGAGTCATGGAATAAGTCAAAATCTTTAATGCTCCAAAATTGTTCAAATTCCGTAACAGTATACCATATGGTAAAGCCTCTTAGGTTGTAGAGCACGCCCAAAGACTACACACTAGAATTTCGTTTTTGATGTTAACGTCAGTTCTTGAGACGCCCACCCCTAAGGGACACATCCACAGTAGAACCGCTTCACCTAAGTCTCAGGGGACACAGTGGAACAGGTGACAGAGAGAATACTAGTGCATCTCTCAACTCTCGCCAATAAAGCTTCTTCGTGCAACAGGAAATAAACACCGAAAGTCACAACCGGTCAAAATGTAGAGAATAAGAGACTGCAGAGTGTGTGTGCCTGCACAGGACTCCAATTTAAACCTCTGCCACCCGAGGCTCAGGGATCATTGTGGAAGAGGGGCAGATAGACTGCAAGAGCCAGAGGTGGCAGATGACCACAAAGAAATGGTTTTCCAGGAAGCTGGGAACTTGCTCATATGAACTTACAACAATGCTGACAGCATGCACAAGATCGATCAAAACTCAAACCAGACAAAAACCCAGCATAGAACTGGGAAAGTGGGTAAGGAGCCCCAACCTTAGCAGAGGAACTACTGACAACAGGTCACTGCAGGGTGAGGGACAGTTGGTCTTCAACTAAGGGAGCAACACTACATAGGCTGAGCTTCTGTTGCTACGAAAAAAAACTAATGATAGAAGATACGAAACTTTTTAAATGTTTGGGAATGATTGAGCAGGACAGTTCTTGTAGTTTTCTTTCGTCAAGTAACATAGAAATAATAACAAGTGTACTCTGGGGCTTCTTTGCTTGTCTGGGGACAAAGCTTCACTCTGTAGCCCTGAATGGCCTGGGAACTCACTATGTAGACCAGGCTGCCTGCCTTTGCCTCCAAGTGCTGGGATTAAAGGTGTGCAACACCACATCCATCCAGTCTAATTTTTGGTTTTGAAACAGGGTCTTATTCTGTAGCCCAGACTGGTCTGGAAAGCACCATGCAGCCAGAGCTGGCTGCAAACCCATGGCAAGGCTATAACATCATAACAATGTACTTAAGAATATAGGCTTTGGAGTTAGAGAGATGCCTCAGTGGTTAAGAGTATATACTGTTCTTGCAGAGGACCCAAGTGCAGTTTCCAGCACCCACATCAGGAGCCTCACAATTTTCTGTAACTCTAGCTCCAGAAGTTCCAACACCCTCTTCTGGCCTCTAAGAGTACTGCACCCACATGCACATATCCATACACAGACATGCACATATACACACAATTTAATTTTTTAATGTTTAAAAGAATATAGGCTTTAAATAACCATGGCAATTCCTCAAAAATACCAAAAATAGAATTACTAAATGATCAGGCTATCCACTCCAGGGTTTATACCAGGACTTTTAATCTACCTGACACAGAAATACTTGCACATCTATGTTTATTGTGACACTATTCACACTAGCAAGTTGTAGAACTAGTTTAGACATCCATCAATAGATGAATGGAATTCTTTTTTTTATCTTTTTGAGACAGGGTATCCCTATAGCCCCAGCTGTCCTGGAACTCACTATGTAGACCAGGCTGGCCTTGAACTTACAGAGATCCGCCTGCCTCTGCCTCCTGAGTACTGGGACTAAAGGTGTGTGCCACCAGGCCCGGCTAGATGAACGGATTTTTAAATGTATATAAACATGGAATTTTATTCAGCCCCCCCCAAAAAAATATGGAGTTATTTTCAGGAAATTGTATACAATTAGATATGGTCATATTAAGCAAACCATGTCAAACTCAGAAAAACAAATGATCACATGTTCTCTTATTTGCAGAGCCTAGATTTTATACAGATACACACACACACACACACACACACACACACGAATGATGTGGTAGTGGAAACAAGACTAAGGGAATAAATATGAATAACAGGGGGCAGATAAAGGATAAGATGGGTAAATACGGTCAACGTGAATGATATACTTGTATGGATACGTGCTTACAAAACCCATCACTATGTTCAAAGAATGCACACCGATAAAAATATATTTGCAGCAGAGTATGAGTTTCCTTTAAAGAATCAGTTTAATCATCATTCCACACCCACTGTCATGGCCCCCTTTGAGGCTAATGATGTAACAGTAATCTATATTAAATTTATTTTCTACTGAGAAAGTTACCTGAATGGTCTTTGTGTTCTTTCACTTTAGGGATCCTCTGACCCCAAGAAAATTTCAAGTGATATGAGAAGGTATCCTTAAAGATGACTCTCACTGCATCTATGGAATAATTTAAATCTAGTTCATTCATGCTTTTTTCATCAGGACATGCCATGATTGTTCTTCCTGCCACGTGAAGAAAGGGAATAGTTTAGTGAGAAGATTTCTATGTGGCCCAACCACAGCACGTAGATTCGATCATGTTGAAGTCATTTTATGTTGAAGCTATTTCTTCCCTCACAAACTCACCCTTGGAAATGAAGTGGGAGATTTCTAATGTTCTAATAAAACTGGAAATTTTATGTGGCAGATGCTCTTATTGAAAATATATTATGCCTCTCCAAACAGTTTAGTCAATAATTTAAAGCATGACAAATTTGAAATAATAGTAATACCAACCCATCCATTTAGTGCATGCAAACTGACCTGACAGTGGAATATACACTATTTCCATTTGATAATGGTATCATGTGGCCAGATGGCCAAGATAGCATACAATTGTAAATTTAGATAGTGTTTGAATGACTGTTTTAATTTATATAATATAATAAGTAATTTATATAGTATAAATGGCTGTTAGTCATCAAATGTAGGCCAGCGAAGCCACGTAATTTTGTAGTAGTCTGCATTTTGATGGGTACATATCCCTGATGCAATTCAATATGTTTCTTTGTTCTGCGATGAATTTCCTAAAGCCCAGTAACTGCATTCAGAGGTGTAATCAGAGTCAGGTATAATTTTGTTTGTCAGACTACAGGTGGTAGTGTGTTTTTAGATCAAAAGTGCATTATTTTGATTGTCTTTTCTTTGGAGATTTTAACTACAATTAATGCTAAGTACTCGATTCATCCATTCAGTAGAAATTTCAAAGTGGTGATACTCTATTTCTATAATTTCATTTACTGGTAGAAAACATTTACAAAGTAATACTTTTCTATTGTCTATAAAATAGTACAGTGTTACAGGGTTCATGCTATTTTATCCTTTTAATTTACAAAATTTCCTTATAAGAACTCATTTATGATCAGCTGATGTAAAAGATCAGTCACATTTCTCTTTTAATCTCATTCTGAAACCATGGACTTAACTGCTTGTTGAGTTTTAAATCATTGCTCACACAGACGTTCAATTTCTGCCAAGTTGACTACTGAGTCCTTTTGACATAACTTAGTTTTTAATGACTTCCAGCTATCTGGAAAGACAGGGATTTTCACCCTGAAGAATTCCTAACCCAGACATTTGCATCTTCTTTCTTCCATGCTTAGACCTTTTTCAAAGTCACAGGATGAGAAGGAAATTATCCCACAAGTGTCTATTTAAAGTCTTTCCACTTTACACATCTAATATCTCAGAACTGCGTTCTAATAGTATACCACCAGTAGTTACTGAACACTCTTCCATCTGCTGTTCTGTGGCTACGTATCAACTCTAAGGGTGAGAGGGGTCTCCAGACTCCAGATGCCCCATTGCTTCCTTTGCTGTTCAACCAACACCAGAGAGATACTAGGTCATTCTGGCAAGTATAAGTGTGCTTCTTCCTCAAACATGGGCATCTTGGAGTACAGGAAACACACCCGTTATGTTGTAAATGATGTGTATTGGTTTTGATGCTGCTATTTAGTTTCTCTGTCAGTTTTATGGACTGGGGAAGACTAAAAATTCATGCCGCTATTGCTATCCAACATTGCCAGAATCTTTTCAAAACCATACATTTAACTAATCTGGATTCATCTCACTTTGATATGTACTATAAAGGAAAATAACTCATTGAACTAGGTTACTAACTGACAGAATGAGAAATCCTTCTTGATACTGGAAAACAATTTTCACTAGTGTTGTTGATAAACTCCCTAGATGCCAGCATTTAACTTGACCTATCCTAAAATGAGTTAGAGTATATTACAGTAAAGACAATTATCTCACAAACTGCCAGAGAACACACCTTTCATGAATGGAGTTGATGCCACCTTGTTCATTATCTCTTGGAAGGTTTGAGACTCTGGAGCAAATGCAACGATGTAATTAGAATCGTTAAAATTATCTACACGTCCCAGATCCGTGTCAGGTATTTGAGGCGAGTCATGAACTTGATGTAAATTGGAGGATAACAGGTAAGCAAATAGTACTAGAAGAAATGAGAAAAACCATTCCTGCACAGCAATGAGAGAAAAATGAAGAAAGTCAGCAGGTGTTCTACCACGAACAATTGAAACCACTTCATTACTTCATTCCATTCCACAGCCCGCATTCCATTTGTTCTCTTTCATTTTTAAATATTTGATTTTAATCTTTTCTTTAGTTTGCACACTTTGCAATCTGTACAGACTCCACCAGACGGAGTTGTGACATCAGCTCCATTTATAACTGAGAATATTTTCTTACTCTTGAATGCGAGCTGAATCATGAATGGACCATTGGTTCGTATTTGAAAAGGCAGTGGGTGCGGAATAGATAAGTAGCTTCCATCAGCAAAAACTGAGTTTATTTTTATCAACAGCTTCCTGCCCATGGGAGAAGTACCATAGTGTTGATCATTAAAAAAGAATTTAAAATTATTTATTATAGACACCATGTTCTGGAATTGGAATGGTAACAGAACGCATTTGAAGCCAACTGATAATAAAGTTCATTATATTAGTTTTAATTATAACCATAAGACTGTTTCAAAGAGGTAACTAATGAACTCAGTGAGCCACACACAAAAAACATCGAGAAAGCAGAGGGGGCCCTGTTGAGAAGACAGTTTCTAGTGGGGAGAGGGATGAGGTAAAAACCACTAAAAATCATTATATAAGTGCATGAAACTGTCAAAAGTTTTAATGGCATCTGCCATACTCATCATACACAATTTTTAGCTGTGTATAAATCTATGAATATATCTATATTCATAGATGAAAATATATATGTGTTTGCCATTTATTAGGAAAGAGTTAAAAGTTTGGAAGTAAAACAATTATCTACAGTAAGATTTCAACTTTTGCATTCACAATGATTTACTGAATCATTGCTCTATGCATAAAAATTTTGCATATTTTATTCAGTGAGAATCACATACACACAAAATGTCCGTAAAATAAGATTTTAATATGCAGCTGTTTTCTCTGAGAGACTTTAGATTATTGTTTATCATTAATTCTATACAAAGCATAGCTAAACATTGTTATGACCCAAAAAAGTACTCCTGTAATAGAAATAACAGCCCAAAATGTCCTTTTCTTTTCCTATTTATTTATTTTAAAAATATTTTATTGAGTTTTTGCACATTTCATATAATAGATCAAATTTAGATTCCCTCCCCCATCCACACATCCCATAGCCCCCTCACAAGACCTCATGCATTCTGTCACATATGTTGAGTCCTATTCAGTCAAGCATTTGTACCCAGATAAGCCCATTCTCCTTTTCAAATCAACACTGTATCCATAGTTCTCTTATTTTGAAGCACTGTAGTTTATCTTTTCTGAGTGACACATATTTGCACACATTCATTATGCATCGTGTGACACTATGATTCGTGTATATATTAGTAATAAACAGAATGGTTACATGTTTATTGTTTCACACTTTTATCATTTCTGTATGGGGAGTAGATTCTTTTGAGTTTTTTCAAAACTTAGGTTACATTCTGAAGTAGCTCTGGGTTAAATTCTGCCTCTTTGATTTTGGCTCTGAACTTCTGCGTTTATGGCTTCATGAGATCCAAATGAACCCAGATGTTAAATATTATGCTTGTAGTATAAAGATATGGCTTCGTTTTTCAAGACATTGCTGAATATTAGCTCTTTTTTAAATGTCTCCAGTAGATACATAATAGTTACATATTTTAACTTTTTATTTGAAAAAAACAACAGAGTCCAAGGTTTGAAAAAAATATAGCTTGGTAATTATAATTGGGATACATAAAAGCATCAGCTAATGTCCGTGTTTGTGCTGCTGAGGAAATATGTTTCCTAACTATGAGAACAGAGATTCCGAGCCATACCATCAAGGTCTCCCTTTTCATCCTCCACTTTCTAAGACAGTTCTTGCAGAGAAGAGCCCACGTGTGCTGACCCACTTTGAAGTGTCTCTTGCTCATTTCGATGTTGATTTCTTAAAGGATGTAAAGGACGCAAATGTAGAAGTCTGAAATAGAACATATTGCGCAATCAAAGAAAAAAGAAACATTTTAACAGCTGTTTCCAATTAAACGCCTAGAGAAGAAGGGCGCCAAAAGCAGGAAAGTAAGGAAGAAAAAAGAGACTGCTAAACTCCATTGAAAGAAATAAAAATTTAAACAATCATGAGAGAGCCTCTTTTCTCCTTTGCACTGACTTTTCAGAGTTTAAGTGTTAGATGCTGCTGTCCTTATGAAACTTGGCAGTTAAACTGTCCAAACTTGATGTGGTCTGATAGAGGTATAGAATTGCCCAGTCATTTAGGCGGACTGCTTAGCAGGATCTTATTATCAATCACTTCTGTGCTAGGGCCTATTGTAAGGAATGTGTTCATGAGGAATCTGTACAAAGATGCTCTTCATAATGTAGATCATTGAAGCAGGGGGCAAAAAATCCCCACATTTTTATGGATACTATCTAAACACAACTGTGTAGGAGTCAGGAGCAATGGGTTAACACTCAACATGAAATCTTTAAACACGAGGTGCCAATTCAATTGTTTTAAAGGAAGGAAAACGTTGCTGTATCACAATATTATTCTTCCTAATCCCCACCATATGCAATACACATTTTCCAAAAATATCCTGGGACCAAGGAACCATTAACAAAAAACAATTTAAAAAGTCTACTTTGAGTAGTGGGAAATCAAATGTGAAATTAGAGATAGAGGTTAAAAAAAATTAAGATACACACTTTGCATGTCACGAATTCAAGACAATGATTAACTCAGCCCTTCATTGAACTTTTATAACTAAAGTCTGAAAAATTCTTAAGCCAACTACTAAAATTCTCAAGTCCAATAAGCATCTAAGTCCAAGAGAGACAGATGAAATTCCAGATAATTTCAGATTGCTTACTATGTCTTGGTTTACCAGCTGTGTAAATGAACTCTAACTAATAATGCCATCAATAAACTGTGGCAGCTGGAAACTCAATTAATACTAAACTACAATATTTCTTACTAAGAAATCAGTGCTGTGGCAAGCCATGGTACCTAAAAATAGAAAGATAGATTGTCTAAGTGATGACTCTTCTTTCTGATACTTTATATATATGCCAGAGATTTAAGTAAGAAGAATTGTATAATTTAATTGTCATTAATTTGGTTATTTGTTCCTGGCTGTCAAGACTAATTTTTCCATTGTATACTCTAATGTAAAATACTGTTAACCACAGACGAATAAAACATCTGGTTAGCTTAAATTGCTCTGAATACAAAACTGTATGATCTCTGGGCTGGAGAGATGGCTCAGCAGTTAAGAACGCTGGCTGCTCTTGCAGAGGACCCAGGTTCAATTCCCAGCACCCACATGTCAGATAACAACTGTCCCTAACTCCAGTTCCAGGGGAATCTGACACCTTCTGACCTCCATGGGCCCTGCACAATAAGGCTGTACTTATACACATGCAGGCAATACACTCATAGACATGAAATAAAAATAATAAATAATTTTTTAAAAATTATGTAACAATAACAAGTTCATTATAAATCATCAGTAATTTCTCAATCAGAGAGAATTCCTGCTATTCAGAGAATATATACATTGTAAAAAAAATCAGGTAATTTTTATATATTTAGTATGATAAACAGGTTAACAAATTATTTCTTTAAGTTTTGATGAAAACATTCTCAAGTCAGTTAAAAACAATTCGGAACTCAGGAAAATCTTACATCCTACAATGTACGTTTCTCTGGAAGTAAAATTGCAAACAGACCAAAAAAGAATAAGCAATTCAAGTAACTTTGAAAATAGCTCATATATGCAAAAGAGTTAAAACGACGTTACATTCCTTCCCATTTACCCAATTGCTTTAGTCATGGAGTAAGTAAAACGGAAAATTTGTTTTCCAACTGCTGCCATTATCATATCAGATGCTCAGAAGATTTGAAAATTCTAACCAACTCACTAGTAACATCCTACAGTTAATGATTCCCACCCAAATGCTTGCCTTAGCGCATTCCTAAGTGCTAACAACCACAATTTAGAGCTTAACTTACCCTTAAGAGAGCCGAAGCGGGAGTTTTCTAATAGCTCATCCACAGATCTCTATGTCCTGGAGAAGAGTCCGCATTCCTTTTAGATCACTGCTACATGTTGGTTTTAATTCCGCTTGTCATGAACTGTTCTGGTTTAGACTGGTCTCTGAAGGGAATGACTCTCAGTTCAGACAGACTGGTAAAACCTCTCTGCTCACATAGTGATTTCTGTACTGTTTTATATTTCTGTCTCTCGTCAGTTCCTCAGCAGAGAATTCGTGGTTGCAGATGGTTGGCTGGATGTGTCTGGACGTTAGGAAGTATCAAACCAAGGAGAAGCTGGGCTTTAAAAAAAAAAAAAAATCTGTTTTCAGATTAGACCCTAATAAATAGGAGAGTTAACTCTCAACACAGTATTTTAAATAAAAAATAGTAAAAAGCCAGCTCAGAGCAGAGCAAAACAGAAAGGAATTTTCTAAATGATAAGAATAAACATACAAATTAGATCAGGTCGTATCTTAAAACCTTGCATGGATTCTTAAAAGTGGAATCTAGAAGCCATTTCCTATTTCCTCAGTAACAAGGTAAGCTGAATTTTCACCTACATCTCAGGAAAATTGCATGTAAGCTAATAGCAACATCGTTCTTGGGTTAAAAAGTAATAGAATGTTTAGAGTGGTGTTGTACAAAAATATTTTTACTCCCAGGCTGGGGAGACAGCTGGGTTAGTAAACGCTTTCCTTCCAAGCAAGAAGATCTGAGTTTTATTCCCAGAAGCCCCGTAAAAATGTGAGGAATGTCGGTGTTTGCTTGCATTTCCAGTACTAGGGAGAAGGGAGCACAGGATTCCTGGGGCTCACGTGCCAGCCAGTCTGGTCTGAGTGATGAGCTCTATTCAGTAGGAGACCTTGTCTCAAAGGAGGGGAACAATGTGTCTAAAGATGATACTGAAGGATATGTTCTGGCCTCCGTCTGAACACACACACACACACACACACACACACACACACACACACACACACACACACACACAGTCCTACAGCATCAGATTCCAGGAAATTTTACCTGAAGGTGATATGGGGAGAAAGAGGGGCCCCTAGAGGGTTCTTGGTCTCATTTTTAAAAGAATTTAAGAATAGACCCAAACAGAAGCTTTACGACAATTTTATTAGAATTTTAAAGAAAAATCCTCAGGGCAGGAGAGCTAGTAATCTCGGCAACTGCCTTCAAGAGGAGAATAGAGGGGCCATGAAGCCATGCACGTTTAGGGCCTGCGTGGAGGTCAGACACGTGGAGGACTGGCACCACATGGTGGGGAGAAGGAAGCCTTAGAGAAAAAGTAAATAAATACACGATGCTAGAAAAGTCCAAAGCGTTCAAGAAAAAATGTTTAGAAAAGGAATATGAAGAAGAAAAGGAGAGATTACGATTTTCTGAAAAATTCAGAGGAGCAGGCAGATTTACGGAGACCTACAGGTCTGTGGCAGGCCAGGGAGGACTGCATGAGGAGGGATTCCAGGCTGGAAAAGTTCGCTATCCCATTAACGCACTAGGTATTCTGCCCATCTACCTACCAGGACAAAAGGTGGACCTGCCTTCCTAGGGGGGTCCTATGACCAGATGATTGCCTGGTGAGAGTGGAAAAGTGGGTCTTCCAATAGACTACAGATTTTCTAGGCTCAGCAAGTTAATCTCATGGGGTTATTTGCTAGCTAACATTGGCAACCACTGGTTTTCAGTATTTCCGGGTTCTGAGTACTGTTAAGCATTTATAGCAGGCAATTGCTATCACACTATGTTTACCATCTTCTGTGAATGGAAAACAAGGCATCACCCGATCAGTATCAATGCTGCTGTTCATTCAAGAATATTTGCTGTTCATTCAAGAATATTTGCTCTTTTGCTGATTATATGAGATCCAGAAATTGCTCAGCAAGCAAAGTCTGTAGATACAGACTGGACTCATTAATCCACGAAAACAACAAAAGATTTCTAATTGTTTCTGTACGTCTGCTGCCTTCTGTAGAGCACACATTATCACAGTTAATGACGCTGCTAATATTTTGTGTGCAGAGACTATAATTTAGAAGATTTCTTATTTCCTAGAAATAGATAATAATAAATACCCTCCATTCTAAGATCCAGCTGAATTGCTTGTGTGTGGGTTTTGTCAGACAACCTCCTTAAATTTGTCTTTTCTTAAAAATACAGTAAATGAATTATACCTGATGCTGTTATATTTATTTTTGTCTTGGAATATTCTTTGTATCACAAATTCCTGCCCTCCACATCCACTTGCATTTCCTAGGTATATTTTGACCAAGCACTGTTATCTGCATGTAAAAGTTCCTTCCTAAATAATACAATTTTATTTTGTCTTTCACGTAGTTTGCTTTTTTAAATTCATTCATTTCCTCCACTCATTTTAATCTAAGTATCTCCTTAAACTTTTTGGTACTTTTCCATTTCTACAATAATCATGTTTCCTTGTTGCTTTTTGTAGGTTTTCTTGGCTAGAAAATTCTGGAATTTATTTTGATCTACTGATGATGACCATGTTGATAAACATATTTGAACTGATTTTACTCTGGTGGTGTAAAAACTCAGCCTATACATTTATTTCCAACTCTTTCTTCACCCTCTCTGCTCCTTACAGAATAAACATATTTAACATATTTGAGCTAGAAGCTGCCCCCTTACCCCCGGTTTACTGTATGGTGTGGGTGAAGCCTGGAAGCCTTACTCTCCACACCTGTGAGATCTGCCGCATGCATGATGGATCCAAATAAGAATCACTGTAGAATTTAAACCCATGGGATCTGAAGGAAAGGCATGTAAAATGATACTGTTCTATTCGTTGTTGGGATTTTTTTGTTTGTTTGTTTTAACTTTTGGCCCCAAATGAAAGTATCATATTCACTTTAAAAATAAGTAGGGGCTGGACAGATTGCTCAGCATTTAAGAGCAGTGGCTGCTCTTGCGGAGAACCCTGGTTCAGTTTCTAGCACGTACAGGGCAGCTAACAACCATTCTTAAGTCCAGTTCAAGGGGATCCAACGCCTTCTTCTGACCTTGGCAGGCAGTGCATGACATGGGTACACTTACATACATGCAAGTAATACATTCATACACATAAAATAAAGTTAATAAACAAAACATTAAAAAATAATTTGTGATTTCTTCATCTCCTATCTAATCTGGCTTATATGAGCACTTATATAATTTTGTTGCTCATTAATTTGAGGTATTTTATTTTTCTTAGGAGGAAAATTTAAGATTTTTTCTTTAACCACAAGGGTATGCAACATCACAGCAGTATTTTGCTGTTGTTTGCTGCTGTTGCTGTTGTTGCTGCTTTGAGACATAATTGTCCTGTAACCTCAGCTGGCCTAGAACTCATTATGTAGACCAGGCTGGCCTCAGTGTCACAGAAGTCCAGCCGCGATTAAAGGCATGAGCCACCAGGCCTGGCTTAGAAGTGTTTCCAACCCTCGTTCACTATTGGTGGGACTGCAAACTGGTGCAAACTGGTGGGACTGTAAAACTGGAGAACTCTTGAAAAACTAAAAATGAATCTACCACAGAGTGTAGTTATTATACCACTCCTTGGCATATAAGCAAAGGACTCATCCTATTGTTGTTGCTCTTTGCATATTAACTAAGAGATAGAAACAACCCAAACTGAGAAGTGGATAATGAAAGTGTGATACATTTATGCAACAGAGTTCTCAGCAGTAAAGAAAAACGAAATCGTGAAATGTTCAGGTAAATGGATGGAGCTAGAAACTGTTATACTAAGTGAAGTAACAGACTCAGAAAAACAAGTGACCTATGTTCTTTCTCATTCATGGATCTTAGCTCCAAATCCTAATGTGTGAGTATATATCTTGATGCAACTGCTGGAGCCAGGAAAATGGATAGGAGTCATAGGGATAAAGGGTAAGAAGGAACCTGAGAGAGGGGCATGGTAGGAGCCAGGTGTTACCGAGAAGGTAAAATGGGGAAAGGGGGAGTGTTTTAACTGGGGATGGAGTAGGGAGGGTTATAAATGGGGGGGGCAGTGAGAAGAGAGATAAAGAGTGCTTAGATGGTGTAAAAAAGCATAGGGAAATAGATTAGTTCAATGTCCTACTGAAAAATATACAGAAAAGTACACATATAATAAATATGTGTGTATGTGTGTGTGTGCGTGTGTGTGTGTGTGTGTGTGTGTGTGTGTGTGTGTGTGTTGGTCTCCGGGACCCTCATAATTGTGGCATAATTTATGATGAGGCCTATTGTAACTTCCTGAGCCTGACTGAAGTTTGCCGACCTGTCTCTGGCCGGTTACTTCCTAGTGGAGGTGACTCAGCAGGGCCCGACCTCGGACTGCCTCTCCCCAATCACAGCTGGTGTGGCCAATTCCCAGTGGCTCACAGCCATTGCCCCAGATGACATACACCTTTGCCCTTCCCTTTTCCACACCCCTTTTTGTTTAAACTATATAAGGTAATGCCTGACGCAAAAAAGTGAGTTCCTGCCTCGACAAGACTCCCGACTTGGTGTGGTTTTTGAGTCGCCGACACTCACAATCCTGCTCAGCCCCTAAGAGAGGAACACAGGCTGGTCCTGGCCTCTCTCCCTGTGCTGTACCTGTCGGAGAGCGATCTGACATGTGTGTATAGCTAAAGGCTATATAACAAAAAATACAGTGCCAGGCAGAAGAGTACCCTTTGAGTTGTTCACCAAAGTAATCCAAGAGACTCCCAGAATAACACAGACTATTGCCGTAGCCCATGATTGCCTCCCAGAACTTTGAGGTAAGACCCTATTATTGAAGACAGGCCATATTTTGGACACAGAACTTGAACCAATCCTGGAACTGACCTGGAAGCCTCCTCCCTGAAGACCAGCTCTCATGGTATCAGAGGACACTGAACAAGCTACCCTGATGGTGCCCTGCTTGTACTGAAGACACGCCAGACTTTCTACCATCTGGTCGTGTGTCTCTGTTCACCCTTACCTTGCCTTGTTTCATTAACCAACTTCAGCCGTACTGAGATGTGAATGGACTGTATTCTCATTCACCTTTCTTTTCTCTCCTAGACTTAACCCCAACTCTCCATTGACCTTCCCCAGTGACAACATCTATCTTCCTTAAGATTTCAGCTCTGATCTCTTCCTCCCCCGAGAACCCCTCCTTATCCTAATCTGTGAAGGTTGCCTACCACGGCCAGGTGCTCCTATGACATGCATACTCACCACTATCACCGTGTGTACCCATTTCATTTTAAACTAGCCGCACTCATCTAGATGATGAAGAATCTGTGTTGTAGTCCTCACACAGCCTGGAATGTGGAAGTTGCTCAATATGTACATTTTGAGTTTAAATGTATAGTAATGAATATGAAATGGGGACGCAAAAGAAAAAGACCTTGTTCTCTAGGAGGATGGTTATGAAATACAGTTTGTGTGGTAGCTAAAAATGTGCCACTTGGGTCAAGGGAAAGTTCTTCGCTTTAAGAAAAACTACATGGCCTTACTACATAGTCCAAGCTTGTCTTAAAATCACGGCAATCCTCCTGTCTCAGCCTGCTGAGTGTTGGGATCATAGGTGTGACAACTTGCTTAGCTTTGTTTTGGCTTTTTTAAAGACGAAATTTAGAAAGAAGGATCAGTGAAGAGAGGAATGCTAAAAGGCACAGTCTGTTGCTTTTTGAACTGGGGGCATGGGTAAAGACAGGATGGTGGCAGTAACAGGATGAGCATCACCTTAAAAAGGAGAAAGAGCTTTATCTCTATCATGAGAAACTAAGGAAGGTCTGGTGAACGGTGAATGTTCATATTAAATATGAAGTGAAGATTTCCATTGAGACCTTCTGGTGAACTAGAGAACACATTTTTTAAAAATGTTATTTATTCTTTTTATTTTATCTATATGCTTGTATTGCCTGCATATAGGTAAGTGCACCCGTGTCGTGCAATGCCTGAGGAGGTCAGAAGAGGCTGTCAGATCCCCTGGGACTGGAGTTACAGACAGTTGTTAGCTGCCATGTACGTGCTGGGATTCGAACCCGGGTCTTCTGCAAGAACAGTCAGTGTTCTTAACCGCTGAGCCATCTCTCCAGCCCCGAGAGCAAATTTTAAGGACAGCAAAAGGTGCGTTAGACAACAGAGCAGTGTTACTTCCAGAAATAGGCCCCAAGAGCATGGAAGATTACTGACTCTCGCAGGTTAGGAATGATCACGTCTTGCTGAAGTCCTGGGATGTAGGTGGTGTTACTTAACATGAAAATGAAATCTTTCAATGAATGATACCTCATAAAAGCATATATTAAAATGTCTGGATGGAGGAGGGGCCACAAAGGCCCTCGTCCGTGCCTGAGGAGCTGTTAGCAGTTAGCGGCTGCTGGGGAAGGGAGAACTTTCTTCTGAGTGGCCACTAGTTAGTTGCTTATGCTCGGGTAAGTAACATACACCTTTGCTAATGCAAACAACCCTAGTTAAACTCTGGTCACATGCTCAAAAACCACGTGAAAACAGAATGGGGACTATCCAAAAAGAAGACAGTGCTCGGTGGGGAGGTGGGGAGACGAGAAGATAACGGGGTGAATGAGATCAAAGTACCTTATACGCATGCATGGAATTGTAAAACAAAATCATTCAAAAAGTAATTTTCTTGTTGATTGGAATCATTAGTGAATTGAGGAAAGCTGTGGCTGGTGAAATTGATAAGTAATGAGAGGTAAGCACAAATGCTGATTAACAAGCCAAATGGAATATAATTCATGATATAAAAATCGATGTAACTTTACTGAAATAAACTGAGGTCTATCTTTTTTATGAATATCTCCGAAGAAATTACTAACAACTATCCTTCAAGAGGAAATTTAACTCAGAAGTAAATAGTTGCATGCTCAAAATTTATAAATATGTTTGCAAGCTAAATAAGTATCGAGACACAAAATAATGGTGCTAATGGCTCATTTTGTGAGAGAGTGGTAAGCACAGCAGATAAGTAAAACAGAAAAATTATGATCTTGCCGAGTGTGATGACACATGCCACTAATCCCAGTATGCCGGAAGAAGCAGCAGGTGGATCTCTGTGAGATCGAAGTCAGCCTGGTCTATATAGTGAACTCCAGGCCAGCTGGGGCTACACAGAGACCCTGTCTCCAAAAGACCTCCCAAAAATTATTATCTGGAGGAGAGAAGCAGGATCATGGTTATGTTCCCTAGAAATCTTTTAATTCATGATGAGAACCAAGATTGATCAGTTTTGTAACAGCACTATCCAAAATACAAGATAATAGCCCCACATGGGGACTGAATTTTAAATTTTAATTAACTCAAAAGCCATAAGATTTAAAATTTAATTTCTTCACCTCTTTTGAGTAAGCAGTTTGGAAGTCAGCATTTCTTTCTTTACAAGAAAAACTCTAAGAAAACTGAAAACTGATGCTGTTTCTTGGAGCCATCAGGGAAAACCTAACCCTAAAGTCCACAGAAATGAAGTCAGGCCAGGGGATCACAGCGAAGATCAGCATTCCTGGAGAAGCCATTAACGTCATGAAGCGGGAAAAAGAAATGAAGTATTAAGTGGTGATTTTGATGATTTGCTGGAGGCCAAGTGTGGACCAGAGCGAGAGTGTCAGCAGTCTAAAGGGCCCAGGAGCACCTGGGTGTGATGGAGGAAGGCCAAAATTGTAGACTTGGAGTTCATCTATTTCTGGTGATCTCTTACTGACGTACTGGTGAGAGGGAGGCGTACTTCTGACCTCTCTTCACCCTCCTGTCTTTGGGGGTTCTCCCACTAAATGGGTCAAACCCAACTGGAAGCCATTTACCAAAGAAGTGAGTCAGTATGGTGGTCAGCCTCATCTACAAGAAAAACATTAGGGAAATAGAATATAAAACCAGTATGATGCCTGTCTACACTGGAACTGGAAACAGGATGAGCCTTGTGCTGGCTTTAGTCCTTCTTCGGCTTTGTTTGAATCTTTCTTTACACCCAGTCATCATCCTGTAGACAAAATTATGATGAGAATGCAACTTCTTAGCTTCAAAACAGCTACATTGTGATAGCATTTAGCATGAAGGTGTGCTTGCGCACATGTATGTGTGTATGTGCATATGCGTGTGTGCATGCATGTGTGTGCATGCATGTGTGTGCTTCAAATGCACCTTACACACATGGTCCAAAGGAAGTTTAACACAATGTTTTTAATGAACCTCACTTTGACTGGGGCCATGTCCATGCTAGGTGGGAAATTTTCCATTTGTAGCCAATGGCATGTTGGGATCAAAGAGTGTGGGATCTTGAATATATCGGAGTTCCAGATTGGGATGTTCTAATGTAAAATATACAGATAAACTACTTATACATAAATCCTGTAAGTGAATAATAAAAGAAAGGAACAAAGAATATGAATAATTAACCCAAATTTAAATGCAAAGAAATATGCAGCAATCTTACCATGAATTTAAAAGCAAATTAAAGCAATTTCCATGTTATATCAATAAGTATAAATATTAATTTAGGTTTAATGAACAGTATAAGGTTATAACTGTGTAAAACTGCCCTAAGGAAGGAAGGAAGCAGTTGAATTTTTGAATGAAGGAACTGTAGTGATGCTTTTATTCCATTTTATTTAATTTCCATTTTTCTCTATTGTACAAATATTCATTAGTAAACAGAAAAAAATTTGAATTGTATAACATAACATCAAAAATTGGGAGGAACATTACTTTGTTTTAAAAACAGTTTTCCAGTGATTTTTCAGGATTAAATAGCTATTTTAAGGAAAAAAATAAAAATATGTAAAGCTGATACAGAAAAAAGAGACAAAAATAGAGGGAGAAATGGCCTTAAGTTAGTAGCGAATGCATAGAAATCTACCAATGAAAAGAGGAAAGAAATACTGGCTATCAGCATTTCCATTTTTAAAGTGACGGAATAGCACTGTGACTCCCTTTATTTTATTTTCAAAAGGTAGATCTGAGCTACTTTCCCTCTCTGTGCTCAGTCACTTGTGAGTCTGAGGGCCCTTGCAACTCCTGTTGTTGTCAAAATAATTTCTTGAAAGGATTTAGGAAAAGAATCTGGCATCATACTTAATATAAAAGAAAATCTGTAAATTTCATGTTTATAAACCGCTATGAAGCAGCCGATGGCTACTGAACACACCTCTTACCTAGTTCAGCAAGAGAATGTTCTGATAATTGCTAAAAGTTAATATTTTGCCAGATGTGGTGGCATGCACCTTTAACCCCAGCACTCAGTAGGCATAAGCAAGTAGGTCTCTATGAAACTGAAGACGGCCTGGTCGAGCACGTTTCAGGACATCAGGGTTACGGGGAGGCCCTATCTTTAAAAAAAAAATTTAAATTAAAAAAAAAAAATTCCAAGTTTCTAGTTTTGTTTCCACAACACCCAGTGTCCAGTTCTGGGCAATTTTACTAGTGTATTATATTGCCTTATCACCTCTAAATCTGAGTACAATAATTTTAAAGTTTTATTTAATTGTTGACTAAATACATAAAGTACATATTATATTGATATTAAACTATCCTTAAAATTATTCATTCTGTTTATTATATAAAGCATAAGTTTGTGGCACATCAACGGAGCTATTAGGTCTGAGGCTTTAAGGTTCATCTGAATGAGGGAGGAGTTTCCATCTCATGGTGGTATCAACTTCTTCATCATTGTCCAGCTCTTGCTCCTTGGAAAGTTCTAAGAACACCTGAGTCAGAAACAAAGACAGAAGAGCAATTATCAAGCTGTCAGTTGCCTTCCAGGTGAACAGGGAAAACACATGTTGCCTTCACATGAAATTTTTAAGGGTGAGACAAAGTTCAACAAGCAGACGCACCTTTTCCAGTGTGCACTGAGAAAGGCTGTACTCTTCCAGGCTGAAGATACGCTTCACTGAAAGAAAAATAAAAATAAAAGACCAGGATAGAAGCTTACAGCTTATTGCCAAGAAATTTTTCAATGCTGTATACACTAAAATACAGATTATTAATGTGGAAAAAGATAAATTGAATGCATAAATGCACAGCAGAACAGAATAATAATGAATGTTGTAGAGTTCATACAGAAAGAGCCATATGGAATTTCTATATATTAAGCCTCAAGTGTTGAAAATATTTGTGTAAATTTCTCAAAGAAAGGTCGGCAGTAACAGAGAGATAATATGAATACATATTAAATTCATCTTAATATTAGGATTTTCTCATATTATTTTGATAAGCTGTCTTCCGTTGTTTCATATGTGTGTGTGTTGAGAAGCCATGTGTGTTTCTTGAGGAACTAAAGACTCCCTGCATTCTTTATTATAGGACTGTTAGAGAAACCTATAGCAGCATGATGATGTAGAAGAATCTTGAAAAAATAAGAAAGCAGCCTGGGCATTTAGGAAAAAGATTTCAGAAAAAGGATTGGCAAGTGTCGAGTCCTGAGGCTGGATCGTGTATGACCCGCAGCATTAGGGAAAGCCAGGAAGTCAGCTATTTAGAGTAGAAATAGCATGGCAGAGATTGATATTATCTCAATGAGTCAAGCACTTGTCCTTGGCACTTAACCAATTAAGTCCCTTAACTCCTAATAATCTTGTAGAGAGGACACTGATACTGCCCCACCCTGAAGAGATAAGCCATCTAAATACTCAGGACTGCGTCATTTTGCCCAGTGTCTCGCAGCTGGGCGAGCAGCAGCTCTGTGATAGGAACCCAGGAGGACCGGCTTTAGAGTTTGAGTTTTTCACTACTGTGCAGCCCTGAAAAACTATACAATGATAGTCTGCTGTTGGGGATGATCTAGCAGAACATACACAAGAAATGATGGTAGAAGACTGAGATGGACCATCTGAAGTAGTGACAGGATCTATGTACAATCAGGGAATGGCCTTGGCTATTGCTCAGTGACAGCTAGGTCAGATACGTCAGCACAGAGACGAGGAGGTTGACAGGTAAATGGTGTCTCTGCTGCTTTTATTTTATTGTGTGATATAAATCAAGCACAGGTGAGGGAAGAAAGCAGGAAGGAGGTGGGACACGAGGAAAGAGGAGGAGTGCAGTAATGCTCAGGATGCCTGCTGTGGATGCTCAGGATGCCTGTTGTGGATGCTCAGGATGCTTGCTGTGAATGGATGTAGACCAAACAGGCCACACAAGGGGTATTTTTGAGATTAATACAGATTTTCAGGAAGGACAGCTGCACATCGCTGTGTGTGTTCTCTGCAGCGTCTGTCCACACACTGGAGGTGAGGGTGGGATTTACTCCCATTAGAATTCTTAAAATCAACACCCTGCTGGGCCCACTTTCAAAATTCGTTACACAGTAATCTTTCAGTTAAATTATTCGCCAAGTATGGATTGGTCCTTTAAAAGTTCTACTTAAATGTGTTCATTCTTACCTGCTTCTAGTTTGTGAAAGGCCTGAGAGAGAGGATAGACATCTGCTATGGGTAGCTTGTAGGTCAACAAGGAGAAGTATCTGCGAATAGAGAAATGCTATATTCAGCTCTGTACTTCAAAGGGAGAAGGTGAACAGCCCAACAAGTCTTTGTATTGTCAACAATATATAGTTTTTATATATGTCAAAAATATATGTTAAATATATGTTAAAATTAAAATGGCTACAAAGCAATATTCAGCTCAATTAATTACCTGTGGAAAGCTCTAGAAATGATTCAAGGTGAGCGGATGCTGTAGACATTTCTAGTAATGACACCTTTATTCATTCAAACCATTTACTTGCTAAAAATAGATACTCTAAACTATGCCTTAGATTCCTTCAAGTTAGGTTGGAAAATAGCCTCAAGTGAAAGTTAGTAACCTAACTTGAGAAGAGACACATGAAGTTGGGAAGTGGGGACAAGAGTTGAGGGAAGAGGGGCTGGAGAGATGGATCGGTGATTGAGAACACTGGCTGCTCTTACAGAGGGCCTGCGTTTGATCCCCAGCACCCACATAGTGGCTAGCAACCATCTGTAACCATAGTTCCAGGGGAATTTGATTCTCAAAGGCACTGTATGACATGGGTGTGCTTATATGCATGCAGGCAATATACTCATACGCATGCAATAAAAATAACAAATCTTTTATTTTTTTTTTTTTAAAGAAAAGAGTTGAGGAAAGACTTAAGAGGCCTAGAGCCTGGAAGGAACATAACTGATCCAGGACAGGCTGCTTCCCATGGTACTTCTGACATGCAGCAGCAAGCCCGTTTCTTAGCTCACTCTCAAATAACTGTGTAGTGCTCCTAGGTGGCTGTGAGATGACCAGATCTCCAGGGCTGGCTATCTTCAGATCAGCCCATTCTTTTCTTATCATTCATGATCTTCCCACATTAATCAAAACTATTTCTTTATGCAGTTGGAGAGATGGCTCAATGGTTTAGAGCACTGGCTGTTCTTGCAGAGGATCCAGGTTTGTTCCCAGCACCCACACAAGGGCTAATAACCGTCTGTAATTCCAGTTCCATGGGACCTGACCCGATGCCCTCTTCTGGTCTCTGTGGGCATTGCATGACACAGGTGTACTTAATACATGCATACAGGTAAAACACTCATACACATAAAATAAGTAAAATAAAAACAGAAACAATACCATTCCTTTAACTTGTGATACCAAAGGTCTGAGAGAAAGACCAAGTTGCATGCCCTGAACCACGGTTTAAATAATCATTATATTTACACGGTGCTAAAATGAAGGCAGAAGATTTTATGTCTCATTTCTCTGAGTGCTCATACTGCTCTAAGAAATTTTAAATCCAGCTCTTGTTTCACTTCTTTATCCTTCTCCCAATAACACACACACATACATGTATGAAATACACATGTGCATGCACACACAAGAACATACATGCACACACTCCTTTCTAGTGTCCATTTTGAAGCATGAAATCCTATTAAAGCAAGACTTTTATCTTGATTTCCACTTTCTGTGTGTGTGTGGGAGGCTTCCAAGCCTCCTATAATCTGGAAGACTCAGCACACCAGTTTTTGAAGGCCTAACTATTACTGTGAAGTTAAATCATCACAGTGTTAGAGAACTAGAGGAAACCATAGTGTGTGAAGCAAACCTCCATAATTAAAGGCTCTTTACCTTTCCTGCCGTGCAGCCTGTGGGAATAGCTTCAGAATCTCTGAGTGGACTAGTGGCACTTGAGAAGGCTCCTTCACGTTGACTTCCAGAATGTAACCCTTGCCAAACTTCCTTTTCAGGTGCTGAATGGAACCAATGCACCTACAGACAAGAAGAACATCTTGAAAAAATATCAGCCTTAATTTTGTATGCTATCATTATATCTCAGGGTCTGTGGGAAGGGAAGGGAGGGAACCAAAAGGCAGGGCTCCGGCTGCCCACACTGGCTTCCTCTTTCCACAGGTTATCCACTCTGAGCACCGAGTGAAGGCTCTGAAGTGATACCCACCTCAGCCTTCCGGACACCACGATGGCCAGGCGGTCACACAGAGCCTCAGCCTCAGCCAGGTCATGGGTGGTCAGGAGGACACCCTTCTCACTGTGTTTAACAGCTGCACGGACTGCCTTCCTGGGGTGAACAAAAATTAATAGCATCTGAAATAAGAATAAAGAACAACAGCAAAGAGAAATAAATAGAGGGGGAAAGTACAGGTAAAATACAGTTTATAAATCATATTCATATATTAATTCAAAAATCACCAAGGAAATATGAATACTGACTGACTAGCCCTTTTGATAATATAAAGAAAAGATTTTAATATTTTAGTTGTGCTAATGGTATTATAGGTGAATGCTAAAGAAGTCTTCTTGGGGCTAAAGGAGAGATGACTCAGCAATTAAGAGCAGTGGTTGCTCTTGAAGAGGACGTGGGTTTGATTCCCAGCACCCACATGGTGGCTATCAACCATTCTTACCTCCAGTTCCAAAAGATCCGTTATCCTCTTCTGACCTTCACAGGCATTGCATGACACAGGTGCACTTACATACATGCAGGCAAAACATTTACACAATAAAATAAAAATAATAAAATATTTTTTAAGAAAGAAAGTCTCCTCATCTTTTGGAGCTACTAACTGGAATATTACCAAACAAAAGGGCATGCTATTTCATATTTCCTTAAAAATAATTAGGAATTGGAAGAGGAAGGAGTTGAGGGGATCAAAAGAAAATTGGCCTCCTAATGTCAGTAGTTGAAATTGATTAATAGGTATAACAGATTCATAAATCTTTATACATTTGAATTAAATAGTGAAAACAAATGTTTATTTTGAGTGGAAGAAAACATTTGTTAAATATGTTTCCTAATAGCATGGATTATCTCTGTTTGGAGATATAGTTTGGCCCATATGTTAAAGGCTGGGGTCCCCAGGTGGCTTCTGGGAGCCGGATTGTGGGGGAGGGGCTGAGGAGGGTGTTCAGGACCTCGGGATGCATTTGCAGGCATTATGGGACCTCAGTTCCCTCATTGTCCTTGTTCCCTAAACTGTGAGGTGACCAGGTTTGCTCTGCTGTGGGTTCCTGTCATGATGTGCTACCTTGTCACAGACTCAAAGCAATGAGGCCAACATACCATGGACTGAAAACTCCAAAACTGTGAGCTGAAACAACCTTTTTCTCTGTTGAAGCTGATTATGTCAAATATCTGCTGTAGTGGCAGCTGAGATGATGTTAGTACATACCAGTTTTTCAGCACTAAGATGAAATTACGAGATAATCAACTTAAATAAGGAGAAAGGGTTGTTTTGCCCTGTACCTTTGGAAGTTTCAGGCCATGGCTGACTAGACCCATTGCCTTGGGTCTGTGGCAAAGCAGAAGGCCACGGCAGTGAAAGCGGGAGAACAAACACACTCACCTCAGGTGGGCAAAGAACAAACAAAACAGTAGAGACCAGAGTCCCAATGTCTTCCTCAAGGTCTTGTCCCCACTGACCTCACTGCCCTAGGCTCTACCTTCTGAAGGTCATAGTGTCTCCCAACAGTGCCAGTGGCCACGGCTCAAACCTTCAGCACATGGTCCTTCAGGACATCTAAGATCCAAGCTGACTCACAAAGTCTCTTCTGAATCAGGAACCAGTGGATTTGAGAATTTATTTTCCCCAAGATCAGTTTACAAATGCAATTTTCCTGCTTGTCACTGTGGCCCTGGGATCTATAATACGTACCACATTTGCTGCCGTCCTGTTGGATCAATGCCAGTAGAGGGTTCATCCAAAAGCAAGACAGGTGAATTTCCCAGCATGCTCAGCGCAAAGCACAGCTGCAATGCAAAGAAATGCCCTGCTTGTTTCCACAGTGGGTAAGCCTCAGAAGAGCATCAGATGCCACACCTACCTTTCTAGGGGCTCCTGTCGCTAGTTTTCGCACTGGGACATTCAGGTGCTCATGTAGTTCGAAAGCATTCACTAACCTGATAGAAAATAAGATGATAATATCAGGCTAACAGAGAACTTTTGGAAAATGGAAGGCCATGGAACTGTAACAGCATTCAAGGGAAGCTTGATGGTATTTTTCTCAAAATTCTAAGTCATGAAAAAATAAGAACCACTTCATTTTTACCTTGTGAAATAATGGTATAAGAAAAACTAGAATTCTGAATGAGACCTGACATTGGATGGTTAACTCCATTTGCACTTTCCATTAGAAAAGTGAAATAGATTAGTCATGATTATAAACTCGGTTATTCTTTACCCACCATTTTATTCACTGATTTTTTAATCCATTTATTTTTATTTTATGTGTATGAGTATTTGCCCGCATGTATGTACGTGCACATGTATGCAGTGCTTGTGGGAGCTAGAAAAGGGTGTTGGATCCCCTGGAACTGGAGTTACAGATGGCTGTGAGCCGCTACGTGGGTGCCCGGGAACCAAATGCAGGTCCTCTGCAAGTGCAGCCAGTGCGCTTAACTGCTGAGCCATCGCTCCAGCTCCTAGTCTATGATTTTTAAGCTCCCTCACTCAGGCGTGCAGAAAAATCAGGTCTTGTTCAATATTTTCATTCTACCAGGAATGCTCTGTAAAGGTGGAAATGTCTGTCTCCTCCCAGTCTTTACTGGCGAATTCATCATGAATGGCACAACCTTGTAGCCTGTTGACAAAAGAAGTACAGGACCTCTGCGCTATACCGTGAAATGGCAGTGGCAGCGTCCTCTTTCCTTAGCCCTTTCACGGCGGCATACACCTCCAGATGTTCTTTCACTGTCAGGATGGGCCACAGCGCATTCTCCTGAGGACAATATCCAAGCTTGACTGTGCTGTTTCCCCGGTGACCCCCAACTGAACCGAATCCTCTCAGGTCCACCTACAAGAATCAACAGCCATAGTGATATGTGCACCCTTTTCTCCAATCACACGCTCAAGAAACTGACAGGTAGCTAGGAAACACCTAAACTGTCAAAGCAAAAAGGACATAACCGAAATTTACTCATGATTATTACAGGAGACATGTAACCTCCTAAAGCACAAGTGTAAATTCATGTGCGAGTGGGCTGAGAAATACTTGTGAGGTGGGGGGCCGTCTAAGAAGTTGTGAAATAGAAAAGAATCCAAGTGAAATTTCAACTCCTGTTACAAATGTTTCAATACCAAGCAAAACCAGTATGACGGAAAGTGAAGACACCCAAAATACCAATAAAACTACACTCCTACGAAGACGTGATCTGTGTTTGCCACGAAATTCCCATGAGAATCGAAGGCATGTCTCTGCTCCTCCGTACCTTTCCCGCTGTTGGCTTTGTGATCCCAGCTATCATCCGAACTGAGGAGCTTTTACCAGCACCGTTAGGTCCTAGCAACCCCAAAATTTCACCTGAGAGAAGGAATCAGATGATCAATATTAGAAGTAAAATACTGATTTACCTATTTTTTTTCAATGAAATCTTCAGAGATCTGTGCATCCCTCAAAGTCATTATAGTTTTATAACATATATAATCCATGTTAGTAAAACATTCCCTTTTAATTCTCATCACCAAAATGTTAGCAAAAGCTTATTAATTTAACATTGATACATCTGGAATTTTCCCTAAGATTTCTTATTTCAGCTCAAAAGCTGCTCAAGTTATTTCCATATTAGATGGTCAGTGTACTTTGTGTGTGTGTAAATGGGTCCTAAACATGAGAAGGCAGGCACATTTTTCTTAATCTAAAATTTAATCACTTGTGCTCAAACTATCATGACCTTTTATCTGAACTGAGATGAACCGACCCCTTCCCAAATTCAGGAATAAATACTGGTATGAAATCTATTCAAAACATAAACTAAAAGATGACACAAGTCTGCTAAAATCTCTCTGGTGACATCTACTGCCACCGTATAAAATATAAAGTTCTCCATGTTTTAAAGAGATGTATACCTATTCTAACCCTGCACAACTCTGACATCACCCTATCCACATACAGATGCATCTGCTGACCTCTTTTATTAACTCAACACTCCAGTTGTGCTGTCCTGCCCGAGTCCCCGCCCTTGCTCTATCCTCTAGCTGGATGTGCTCATCTTGCAGTTCTCACACAGCTAGCATTTTCTTGTTACCTAGCTCTTAAACGTCTTTGCTCAAGTGAAGCCTTCTCTCATGCTGATCAAACACAGCTCCGAGTCACTCACATCATTTCAAAGTTCTACATCAAACTTTTATAATACTTGATATTTTTCATGATAAGTTATTTTTATGGAGTACTTCTGAGGATGAATAAACAAAATCTATGAGGGGCAGGGAGTTTTCGTATATTTGCCCTAAAACAGTCCTGGCAAACTAAAACAAAACAAAACTGAATGAAAGAATGAAGGCCGCAGCAAGTGAAATGATGCCTATGGCATAGTTGTTTGTTCCTACAAGTAGCGATTAATTTAAACCAGCCTGTAATCCGGCCTACTCAAGAGGCTGAAGGAGGAGGATCACAAGGTCAAGTGTTCCTGAGCTACCGAGTGAGTTCAAAGCCAATCTTGGCAAATTAGTGAGACCCTGCCTCAAAACAAAAAGAAAGCATTAAGGGTGCATCTTAGTAGGGTACTTGCTTAGCATGCAGGAGGCCCTGGGTTCATTCCCCAATACCGCAAAAATTCATTAATGAAAATAGAAAATTAGGGGTCTTTTTGAGACAGGGTCTCCCTGTGGCCACAGCCGGCCTGGATTACTAGGTAGATCAGGCTGGCTTTGATCCCTTCACAGGGATCTGCTTGCCTCTGCCCCTCCCACCCAAGTTCTGGGATTAAAAGTGTGCCACATGCTGGGCAAGTGATCAAAGTTTTTCATGATCAATTTAAGAAGTGATGTTTTCAAACCTTTTTTAACACAAAAAGAGATATTTCGTACTGCTATCTTCTTCCTCTTTGAAAAGCAACTTTTCTTCTGACCTGTGTACTCTTTGTGTAGACAGCTGGCAATTATGGCTGGTTCCTAGAAGAGAAAGCAATATGGTTTTTCTCTTAAATTCCAGGGACTTTGTGTTCTTATGTTCGCCCTACCAAATCACCTTTATCATAACAAAACCATATTTTGAGTTGAGAGTAATGATTGTTACCAATATAGCGTACTTTCATTAGCACACGGAGCATCTCATTTCCAAATACACTAAGAACTTATGGTGTCGTGGAATCCAACTCTTGTCTTGGTGGAAGAGATGTGGCTAAGCGGATGGAAATAGTGCATCATCTCAGTCAAGCAAAAGACTAACCCACAGGCTGCAGCCATAGCTCAGTGGAAGAGCACTTGTCTAGTATGCATGAGGCCTGTTTCAATCTCTGCATCTCTATTTAGCATCTTACACAATGCATACATTCTTCAACTCATGAGTTCTTGTTCTATTCTAAGATTATAATTTGAATTATCAAAACTCATTTTTTTCTCAAAAGAATAAAATAATTATATTTTATGCTCTTTCATTGCCAAGACACTCCAAAGTGTCTGCATATTTAGGAATGGACCAAATTTCAGGCTTAAAAATTAAAACCTTCATTTCAAGCCCTCCTCTAGACAATTCTCATACACTTTCAGTAGCATCGACTTTACCACCTGCTTTTCTACCTCAGCTAGGTTTGAAGTGCTCAGGGAAGCTGACGTTCTTATTCTCTCTGCTTGAACATCTTCATCTTCATCTACAGGTTCTTCCAGATTTGGTTGATTGTCTAGACTTTGGGGGGATAGCCTGTGGAAGAATTAATTGTGTTACATGTGGTTTTCTAGTTGTCAAATGTATCAAAACCTGGTGTCCCTGTGATTTTATCATCTTCCTTCTCTAATAGACTGGTGGTGATTATGACTATCAGTGTTACTTTGGCTTTGCAGAGAACTCCCATCCCACTGGCCAGAATGCCTCTGTTGGATTGTTGCTATCCTCCCAGTAAGCATCTTTTTAAAGGATGTTTTATTTATTTTATGTATACGTTGCTTGTGCGTATGTCTGATATAGGTGTATGTATCACATGCATGTAAATTCCCTTGGAGGTCAGAAGAGGGCATCGGATCTTCTGAAACTGGGGTTATAGGCAGTTGTGAGCCTCCCGATGTGGGTGCTGGGAATGGAACTTATTGGCAAGTGCTGCTCCTTCCTCCTGAAAATTTAAGTCTTACTCCCATTGGTCACTGTAATTCCATCTTAATGACATCAGACATTTGTTTCAGCATCTGCTAAGGTTTGCTCTGCAAAGTCCCTCTGCAAACATTCAACTCTGTTACTAAACTTCTTCTTGCCCATCTGTTCTGTTCAAGGATGTGTATCACCTTGTGTGAGAGAATGGCACACTTGGAGTACTTATTACATTTATGAGAAACTTAAGCAGCTCTCTGCTAGTTAGCCACAGAACTATTGCTTGGACTCTTATTTCATTGGTCCTAACATCAATCATCATATTACTTGTAAATAGAAATCCCTGTTAACAGGTTAATAGTACAGCCGCTATAGTCGGAATATTAAAGCACAATGTTATATATGAAGTTAATGTCATCCTAACCTGAAAACGGGATCCTTCCGCATTACATTTTTTCCACATTTAAGTTCCATGCATCTTAGAACAAAAATGAAGAACAAAGCTTGAAAGTAAGGCTAGGAGTAAAGAAAAACTTTGATTTAGATGTAAGTTCACAAATATAGTTGGACTTTTAAGTAAAAGTGCTGGTGCTTTATCTTCAGATACAATAGTGGTAAATTCTTATAAATTATGAGAGAAACCACAATCCAACTTAGTTTAACCTATCTCCTTTCTGCTGTTTCTAACCCGCATCTTATCCATCAGTAAACTTTTTTTTTTTTTTGTCTTTTTGAGACAGGGTCTCCCTGTAGCCCCCACTGTCCTGGAACTCACTATTTAGACCAGGCTGGCCTTGAACTCACAGAGATCTGCCTGCCTCTGCCTCCTGAATGTTGGGATCAAAGGCATGTGCACAATAATTTTTTATTTATCATTTTTATGTGTATGAGTGTATTGCCTCCATGTGTGTAAGTGTGGCCACATTGTGCAATGCCCACAGAGGTCAGAAGAGGGCATTGGGTCCCCTGGAACTGGAGTTACAGATGGTTGTTAGCCACCACGTGGGTGCTGGGAATCAAACCCAGGTCTTCTGTAAGAGCAGCTGGTGCTCTGAACCGCTGAGCCATCTCTCCAACCCCAGTAAAATGTTTTGTATCTGTTTTGTCTTTCAAATCATCCATAATGCAAGTAGCTCCCACCCCTGCTGTGCTACCCCATCCAGACCCAGTCATTGTTTCTCAGCTGGATCGCTGCGTACATTTCCACTGGTCTCCCTCTACTGCTCCTTCCCTACACAGAGCCCATCCCAGTAACTATAGTTAGAAACATCCGTTGGCTCCTTCATCACCCAAAGGTGCATTAGAATCCTGAGTAACCTAGAACAGTAGGTACAGTTCCTTTTCCATCTCACTTGACATCACTACTTCTGTGACCATCTGTCCTCCTCATCTCCCTCTCTGCCAAAATCACACCATCCTCCTGGATGACCCTGAAATAAGCCACTGCCACTCTTGCCACTGGAACATCCTTCAAGCCCTTCCTGACTATCCATGTAACACTGTATTTGTTTTGTTTCTCTTTCTGCTTCCACCAGAATATAAGCTGTATTAAGGCAGGGACTTCAGTATTCGGGATTTTTCGACCTGGAAAAGTATTGACGGGAAGAATTTAAGGACAGAAGCTTTCGTCATCTGAAATCTAATAGAATCATTTTCCCATTCTTATTCCATTTTGTTTTTTATTCATAATTCAAAAAAAATTTAACCTATATTTCACCTGATGTTTTCAAACTCAAATTTAGAGAGGAACAGTCTAAGATTAATGTCTGAAAGTAACTAACTCATCTAAAACTATATTTAAAACACTTTGAGATGTGACTTACTTCAGAGAAGGTTAGTTAGTTATATTAAAGGATATTTATCCAAAAGTTATAGTAAGAAAAGTCTTACTATGAGGCATATCAGGAGATCAGCGCCACTTATGTCATACTTCAGCTCTGTAAATTCTTCGTAAGGCTGGCGGGCTCTCTGAAAAGATAAAATGGATATACTTATTTTCTTCATGATTTGCATTTGAATAATACAATATTTCACGTTAACTATTTTCTTCATTAAACCCAATTCTGTGAGCACTGCTGACAAGACCCCAACAAAGGAAGGGAGCCTCCTTCTAAACACTGTTTCTCAATAAACAACTGATCTACATCTGTTCCCTTCCACTTTTTCTTTTCATCTTTTGGCTTAAAACCAAAATATTTGCTGAAAGTCAACCAAGAGTCTAGCAGAGAGAGGTGCTAACATTGTAAACATTTGAGGAGTTAAAATATTTGTCCTGAGTTTCCCACCTGAAGCCTATTTATAGGATCCCTTCTCGTTGCAATGATGAGTGTTTTCTCAGTCATTACACGCTCTTTGTGTTATTCTTTCATGATCAATCAGTTATGCAGAAAACAACTCATTACTCCTAAATTATATGTGATAGATCTAGAAGAGTGTTTTCATCTATTTACATTTTACTAGGAAAATACAAAGCAAAATATATGTTTATGTTCAAAAAGTCCAGCCCCCCTCGGTTAACAGAAGAGTATTTTTGCAGACAGAAGGTCTTCCCATGTCCCTTCAAGCATACAATTAATGAAAGTTGTTCTGCTTTATTTAAAACTACTTCTTCTGTATATTACAAGGTTCCAAAGTATGTATTCTCTGCTGAACTATCAAGCCTGGCCTTATCATACACCTCTGTTCATGTGATTCACACTCAGTTTCTCTGATGCATTGAGAGCTTTCTGCTGTCGAGGCCTTTGCTTTTTACTGCAGCACATGCCTACCTCTTGTCTCAGTCGCCCACTGATTCTTCCTCACCCTTTAGGAATGTGTTTGAACATTGTTTCCTATGAAGACTTCACTTACTTAAGTGCATCAGCTAGGCTCTGTATGCTGTCCCTTGACCCTTTAGGGCTCTTATTTGTAACCTTGAAGCTCACTATGCTTACTTAAGGTTGATCTGTCTTTGCTTCCACTAAGCTCTATGAAGGGAAAACTGTGCTACTTTGCTCATCAAGTGCCCCAAATTGCTAGCTCAGTGACTAGCACAGGACAGGGTTTGACATATACTTCTGAGTAAATAGCATTGTGCATGAATTTATCCTCAGTCATGAATAAATACCCATTGAACGACTGAGGTTTGGTGGGGTTGTTTGTTTTCAACATGGCCTTAGATTTTAATAGCATTTCATGGTGCCTATATCTTGCCAAGTATCTAGGGCACAGCTCTTTCAACAACTTTATTGGGTTTATTTTAGTGCCAAAAAATTTACCCAATTTAAGTGTACAATCTTGGGATATTTTTAAATACCTTATATAAACATCAGCACAATTCAACTTTAGAGCATTCTAATCATCCCAAAGAAATCGCCTGTGTCCACTTTTCATTCCCCATTCCCATTAATCTACTTTCTATCTCTATCGATCTAGGCACATTGGAAAGGCTACCTACTCAATATTTTTGGCACGGTTGATGACATTTCTTACCTTGTCCAAAAAGATCTGGAATGCAGCCACTGAAAACACAGGAACTAATACCATGCTGGCAATAAGTAATGTTAGGCTGAAGTAATCAGAAAACATGATTTCCAACATGATGATCAAGACCTACAGGGCAAGCCCAAGTACATGAATCAGACAGATTCCACTCATTGATACTCGAGAAAACTACTGTGACACTGTGATATAATTGTTTTTACATTCTAAAAAAGAGAAATCTTTATTTTACAAAATGCACTTTGCCTTTGGAATTTTCTAGTCTTATTTCAAACCATAACAGCTCAAATATGATTGACAGTGATGAGAAAATATAGGAACCATAATTAGATGAGGTTTTACTTTAAAAATAGTGCTTCAGCATATGGTATTTTATATTCTGCGGTGATCCTTTATTTGCCACATTTATTCAAAATACAGGGAGAACATCTCAACCATCATATTAGTCCAAAAATGTAATAAAGAACACATCCTGCATTATGATTTTCCTTAGAAGTAACACCAGACACAAAGAGGAGGAGGAGCTACAAATAAAAAGAAATCACGATTCCAAGCTACCAGTAACTTAGGGCTGAAGACCAAGTAGCTGAAAGATTATCTGTGAGGCACTGACCAGGTCATCTCTAACCATCCTCAAGGTTGAAGGTAACACATCTGTCAACAGCCATACTGGCCAATAACCCTGAATTGCTTAATCATAAGTTCCAAAAAAGAATTCATTCAGAGTTAAAACTACTGGCAAACACAATTGAGCACACCCTCTTTGTTCATCTTTGCTATACACGTGGAAGAGAATTCACCAAAATAAAAATCAGGCGAGTGTCAGTAAGATTATCTTTTAGTGCTACCTACTGAGCACAGCCAGTACTTGGGATAACACTGGACAACAGCAGTAATGCTGTAAGCTAATCAAAAATGTTCCCAAGGAACATGCAAGGAAAGACTTCGGTACATAGCATCCTCGTGGCTGGCCCCAAGGTAGTCTTCCAAGTGAGGTTATTCCATAGTGTAGTCCTTTACGTAGCTGTACTTAGGCTGGATTGTACAGGTCAAGGTAGAGATAGTAATTAACATCACTTGTTATGCAACTCAGAAGTTGTGTAACAGCGCTGTACATGAAGAGGAACAGCAGCTTTCTGTCAGATACGTTAGATGTTTGCGAGAGAAGTCAGTGGGTGGTGTCGGGTGTGTTTTCTTATAGATGGTTTTCGGTTGGTCTTCTCTCATGGTTTCAGATGTCCCATTCCAAAAATTGAGAGCTATTATCTAGTTGGATATTCAGTCACGTCTTAGAAATATCAGCTTGAACTCAGCTTATAATGCACAGCCAAAGCACTCTGGGTCTCCAGAGTTTTAGTAAACATTTACAGCTAAGTTTCCCATAATCTTGGACAAGTTCTTTATTTTCATGTAATTTGCTAATAAATTATTCGATACATGAGTAAAAAAAAGATATTTGAAGAAATTATCAATTGAGGTAAGACAGATTTTCTAGATAAAGCACATCTGAAGTATGGTGTGCAGGCCATGTGACCCAGGATAGCTATGAACGAAGTCCAACACATTGGTGGATGAAAAAGCCATATCACAATGTCAAAACAAGGTAACTCTGTTCCAGAGGACTCGGAAACTGGATGATCCCATCAGCTATTGTGGAGCTAGTTCTTATTCTAGTATTGACAGGAAGCCCTATACCTGAAGCCTGTATAAACTCAATAGTACATTTTAAACTTCAGATATTTTATGAAGTTCTCCATAAACTCTGTTCAGAGAGCTATATCTGAATTCTTCAGAAACACAATCACCTTCATGAATTAATTACATGGCCATGTCCTTTCCATGGTAGAATTTTAAAGTACAGATTTGACTGTCCCTTATCTGAAATGTTTGGGAACAATAATCATTTGTATTTAAGATTTTACTGGATTTGTGGAATTTTGCATATACATGAACTGCCTTTGGGATGGAGCTCAAATCTAAATACAAAATTAATTAGGTTTCATATATACTTTAGGTGCATAAATTCAAAAGGTCCATTGGGGATACTGAATAAAATGTGGTCCATTCTTGCATTTTGACAGGGAACCCTCACATGATGTCAGCTGTGGGAAATTCCAATTCTGATATCATGACAGCTCTCAAAAGTTTTATATTCTGGATTTTGGATTTAGTCTACATTTAAAATTTTTCCACTGCTCAAGATAAAAAATAACTGTATTTAACACATAGCATTTAATGCTTCTCTCTCTCTCTCTCTCTCTCTCTCTCTCTCTCTCTCTCTCGTGTGTGTGTGTGTGCATACTTACAATATAGAAGCAAAATGACCAGAGGCCACTATTTTTTCTCCGTTTGCAGAAAACAAATGATATCACATATGTCAAGAAGGTAAGAGACACTGCAAAACCAAGTGAAATGACAACCTAAGGGTAACACAAACATAGTTAAAAATGGAAACAACTGAGGGACCTTTTAAATTACAACCATTTTAAATTATGCTACATGTAATCTTCATGTCTTTTTGGTTTATAATGAAACAATATCAAATGTATTAAAACTAATATTATTTTATTTTTAAATGTTGTATAAAATTTGGTTTGTCATGTTACTTACCATAACTAAAATAATGTGACTTGCAATGTAAATGTCCATCAGTTTTCTTATGTATAAGACCAATTTCATTAAAAGAACAATTACAGTGAAGATGCTAATATCCACGATTGCCTGCCCACACCAGTAGGCAGAAGGGTAGAGGCCAGAAATCCATAGCTGGGAATCAACATTATACTGAAGAGAAAACATAAGATGTACATAGGTTCAATTAAAAGGTAAATTAAAAAAAAAACACATTGGAAGAATTTTTAAGGTAAATATAATCTAACAGTATCATATTATTGAAAATAATTCTACATATACTATTTAAGAGCCTGAACTCTGCAGATCTGGTCCTGTAAAGGCATTTTTATTGGTAGACTGACTTAGAATACCTCTTATGTCATGAATAATAAGTGGAAAAGTGGACTTCAAAGAAATGCTATTGTGTGGGCTGAAGGACAGAAGGATTCTTCCTTCCACTGCGCACATTCTCTGATTTTAATGTTTCGTCCAGATAATATGAGCACAAATATGACATAAAACTGCAATTTACAGAGTGCAAAGGGAATCTAAGTCCTAAATTTTATCATCACTGATGGTTTTCCTTATAGTTAGGAAATAATGCAGTCAAAAGCTGTAACATTCTGTTTTGAAGACTTAAAGTAATATAAAACTCTGAAAAGTCACTGTGCTTTTCATGTAAGTTCGAAGTAAAAACATTTTGCATTTTATTTTTAATTTTGAGAATTTCATACATGAGCACTTTATTCATGTCGTTTCCATCCCTCTTCCCTATCCAAATCCTCTCACATTCCCCGATCCCTGTAAATTTCCTGGCCTCTTCTTTAATTAATATTGTTACATATATATGTGTATATATAAACAGTATAGCCGGGCGTGGTGGTGCACGCCTTTGATCCCAGCACTTGGGAGGCACAGGCAGACGGATCTTTGTGAGTTTGAGGCCAGTCTGGTCTACATAGTGAGTTCCAGGACAGCTGGGGCTACAGGGAGACCCTGTCTCAAAAATACCAAAAAAAAAAAAAAAAAAACCCAGTATATGTTATGTTATATTACATTACATATATATACATATATAAACAATCTGCTAAGTCCCTGTAGTGGTACTAGTATGTACATGTGTTTAGAACTGACCACTTGGGATTGGGTAAGCTATCAGGGAACTCTTCTCAGCAGCCATTGGTTGCCTGCAGCTCTTCATCTAGAGATGTGACCTTGCTAAACTGCCCCCACCTATGCTGGCATGCCAGCTGGTGTGATTTTGTAGGTCTTATTTAGGCAACTGTATTGTTGAGATTTCATGAGTGCAGTTTCCCTGTCATATCTGGAGGACACTTTCTAACATTGGGGCCTACAAGGAGACCCTGTCTCAAAAAGCCAAAAAAAAAAAAAAAAAAAGTTTTCTGAGTTCCTAGAAATAATGCCAAACTACACTGTCTAAGTTAAAGACATGTTCCAGTCCTTCCCCACACCCCAGAGGGAACTTCTTTGGAGTTATAGCATTAATAATATAATTACTGAAATTCATGAAGTCCCATCCACCCAGCCTTTCTTACTTTGTAATCACTGGCACTGCTCATGGCTATGTAAGGACTGATGCACCATGCAATAAACGACAAGAACAGGGAACCGTCCGGGAGCCCTAGCCAGATGAGAAACCTGACCTGAAAATACAAAGGGAATCCTAGAGAGCATTTGCAATGAAATACATAGCAATAATCACAAAGAAAATACTTTTTGAAATATTAAAAAATCAAAATATAGGTCTAGATCACACAGATTATCTATCAAGGGAAATTATACTTATCCTATGTCATGAGGTGCCAAATTCAAAAAACAAAATGAAGTGAAAACAATTCAGGATCCACTTTGAGGCATATATCAAAAAGAACAAGCATCTGGGCTTTGAAGAGGCATGTGCACACCCATGTTGACAGCGTCATTACCCACAATAGCCAAGAAGTAGGAAGATCTCAAATGCCCATCCAAAGATGAATGAAGAAACAAAGCAGAGTAGGTACATATACAGATAATGAAATGCTGTTCAGCTTTAAAACAAAGAAAATTCTGTCAAATGCTGCAAGATGGGCCTGGAATACACAGTGCTATGTGAAATGAATTAGAAAAAGATAAATGTGATATAATTCCACTTGTATGAGGCACTTAAAAGGGTCACATCCCTAGAAACAGAAAATAGAATGGTAGTCCATGGGAACAGACAGGAGGGAGAAATAACTGCGTTGTTTGTCACGCGTCCCTTTTCATCTCTAATTTTACTAATTTGGGTCTCCTTTCTCTTTCTTTTGGTGAATTTGGCTTAGATTTTTGTCAATAGTGATTGCCTTTTGAAAAAACCAGTTCTTCATTTCATTGATTCTTTCTCAATATTTTCTTCTTTTCTATTTCGTTGACTTCTGCCCTAACATTATTTTTAGTAGAATTCTTGTCGCTGACGAAATAAACCCAAAAATTAACAAGCGACATCTCATGAAATTAAAAAGGCTACTGGATAGCAAAGGGAAGATGCAGCCCAGCGAAAACTCTGGCAGAGAATTAAAATCTGGAATACATAAAGAACAACAACAACAAAAACCATGCCTAAACCAGAATAAGCAAGTAACCAAGTAGTAGGATATAGAGTCTTTGGGGTATACGCGTGCAAAGAGTAGTGTATGTGATGGATCTACTTCTAGGTTTATTTGAAACCTCACACTGAATCTCATAGTGGTTGCAACTGCTTGCACTCAACCACCAGTGACTGTTAGGAAGTGTTCCCCTTTCCCTACATCCACACCAGCATTTATTGTCATTTTTTTCTTCTTTTTATCTTAATCGTTCTGACTTGGGTTCAGATGAAATCTCAAAGTAATTTTGATTTGCATTTCCCTGATGGCTAAGGATGTTAGACATTTTCAAAATATCTCTCAGCCATTTTGAGAACTCTCTGTTTAGTTTTATGTCTCTTATTTTCTTGATATTTAGGGTTTTTTCTTTGTTTGTTTGCCTTCTTGAGACAGGGTCTCTCTGCAGCCCCAGCTGGCCTGGAACTCACTATGTAGACCAGGCTGGCCTTGAGCTCACAAAGATCCACCTGCCTCTGCCTCCCAAGTGCTGGGCTTAAACATGTATGTCCACCATGCTCAGTTTCTTTACATATTTGAGATGAACAACTGGTTAAAGACCTTTCCCCCATTCTGTAGGCTGTCTTCTGCTACACAGATGCTATTTAGCTTCATGAGTTCCCATTTGTAAATTGTTGATCTTAATGCTTGTTTTATGGGGTCCTGTTCAGAAAGTCCTTTTCTGTGCCTCTAAGTTAAAGTGCATTCCCTACTTTCTTCTCTAACAGATTTGGGGTATTGAGTCTTAGGTTAAGATCCTTGGTGCATTTGGAGTTAAGTTTTGTGCAGAGTGAGAGATTAGGGTGTAGTTTCATTCTTCTAAATGTTGCTACCAAGTTTGACCAATGCCATTTGTAGAAGATGCTATCTTAGAGCTATAGAACTGCAGGCTTATGTCTGGGTCCTCAATTCTAGTCAATTGATCAATATGTCTGTTTTAATGTCAGGACCATTCTGTTTTCATTACTATAGCTCTATAGTATAACTTAAAATCAGAGTTGATGATGTCTTCAGCAGTTTTTTATTTATTTATTTATTTTTTTTTATTGTTCAGGATTATTTTGGCTCTCCTGGGTCTTTTTTGTTTCCATATGGAATTTGAGATAAATTTTTTTTATTTCTATGAAGAACTCTGCTGGAATTTTGAGAAGGATTATGTTGAATCTTTTGCTTTTGGTAGAATGGCCATTTTTTACAGTACTAATCCTACCAATCCATGAGCATGGGAGGTCTCTCTGTCTTCTGATGTCCTCTTCAATTTCTTCGGTGTCAAAATTTTCATTGTGTAAGTCTTTCATTTGCTTGGTTAGATTTTTCCCAAGATATTTTTTGAGACTATTGTGAATGGGATCATTTCCCTAATTCCTTTCTCAGTATGTTCGTCTCCTGGAACGGCCATTACACTCACAAACACAGAGTAGCTGTGTCTACCTGCACAACACACACACACACACACACACACACACACACACACACAGCAGGAGAGGAACTATTTGGGAAGAAGGAAGTGGACAGAGGTGGGAAAAGGATAAGGACAGCTAATAAAGATGAATATAATCACAACATATTCTACATATGCATGAAATTGTCAAAAATAAATTAGAATTCTTCAAAAAAAGAGAAAAGAAATGGAAAGCCTTGTCACTTCCGGGCTGAAGTGATGTGCCAGTGTGAGGTTTCTCTGCTCTGCTATCTCTCACTAACGCTTTTCCTTTACAAACCTTCCAGAGTCAGAATCCTGACAATGCAGGCTGTATATATCAAATATCTTCTAACTGCAAACAAGCTGAGTAGATGAAGGCCTGAGTTAAAGAGCATACAAACTGTTAGGACACAATTGCCATCTTTAGAATCAAGTCAAACATGAGGTTTTAACAACTAAAGAAGGAAAATATTGATTAATGTCAATTTTTTAATTGCTCAGGATCAGTAAATCTAATACTTACAAAAAATATTATGCTTCTCTCTATTCGAATATCCTGTGTTTGATTAAACATATGAAGTAGCCCATTGCTGATGATATTCATTAGGATGGGATAGCAGTGCAGTCTCTTGGTATTACACACAACTGAAAATCTGTAATCCTTAAAATAACCAAAACAAACACATAATAAGACTAACTCCAAATCCTTGAAACCTAAAGGAACAGTTAGTTTCTTTATCTGTGAAAGAGGACACTAAATGTGTTCTTATGTGGCATGAGATTTATATCCTTAATACAGTGGATAGGACAGTCAGCTTCAACTTAAGACACTAGTATAACTAATTTCATATCACTTCGTCCTCATTTCACTGATGAGGAAATTTCAGTTAATGGAGTTTAAAATTTGCCCTAACAAAGATATAATGTCAGTTTACAGTGAGAAGGCACAGGAACACTGCTCTTCATAGGAGACAGACATGGAATTTCTGAGATATTCATGATTACATTGCTATAGAATTTTTACACTTTCTACAAGGTAACATTTATATTTCATGCTTGTGAAAATGTTCATGCAATCATCACACAGGTTCAATATTGCTTCATATTAATATCATCAATAGTCGATATGGTAATCCTGAAAGATAAACAAAGCAGCTGTCAAAATGGTTTCCCAAACTTGACTGAAAGTGATTACATTTCTCAGAATATATTGAAAGTAGGTAAAACTGAACTCAATGATACATCGTCAAAAGCTTCAATCTTTGTTTTCTTTCACTGGGAATAAGAAATAAAGAGATAATTTTGATTAATTTCGAAAATACATTTATTTATTTTATATGTATGGGTGCCTGCACATAAGTGCACCATGTGTGTGCCTGGTGTCCGCAGAGGCCAGAAAAGGGCTTTGGATCCCCTGGCACTGAAGTTACAGAATGTTGTGAGCCTCCATGTGAGTGCTGGGAACCAAAGGTGGGCCCTCTGCAAAAGCAGTCAGTGCTCTTAGCCACTGAGTAGAAAATACATTTATTTATTTTATATGTATTGGTGCCTGCACATAAGTGCACCATGTGTGTGCCTGGTGTCCCCAGAGGCCAGAAAAGGGCTTTGGATCCCCTGGCACTGAAGTTACAGAATGTTGTGAGCCTCCATGTGAGTGCTGGGAACCAAAGGTGGGCCCTCTGCAAAAGCAGTCAGTGCTCTTAGCCACTGAGTCATTTTTCCAGCACGTCGGTTTTGATTAATTTTGTCCCTCAAGTTTACTGGACTGCAAATAATACTCAAGGGTTCTTATAATTAGGATGTATTTTCAGCATTGTGTTCCACAATGGATCTCTATGGTTTCTACTCAAATTGAAATACAGTAAGCTAGCACATGGAAAAAACCTTTCTATTGGAAATTTCATGTGGATATTACAGTATTTTATTAATTTTCTCAATATATAAAAGCATTATTCAATAAGTTATCTGGTGAACACAATTCCTTGAATTCATAATTACATTATGAATTACATTCAATTAATAATTACATTAATTGATGATTTTAAAATGTAATATTTTATTGCGTTTGAACAGTATACTTGTTCCTTTTGAATGTAAAAATGTCCTAATATAAAATGAAGGTAGAAAATGTTTCACAAACATATCACAGTCTACTCAATATAGATTCAAATGTTGTGCTGAGTTCAGTTGCTGTATACTAGTTGGGCTAACTTTTTATAATTTTTAAAGCAGTTAAAATATAGCTCTTTCTTATTGTGTATGTGTTGTCATAAGAACAAAGCAAAGAGGGAAAGTGTACCTTGTCTTTACCAGAAACTATGATAGCTCCGTTGTATGAGAGGCCTTCAGTACCATTTCTGTTTACAAAGTCGTCTACCTCCAAAGCTATATTTTGATGCTTCAGTGACTGTATAAAATCTTCAATATTTGATTCTAGTATGAATTCAACAACAGAAGGCAATATAAAAATAAGTACAATTTTTTTTTCTAATGAGCCCCTTAAAGTTGATATTTCTAGTATACCATGCAAAGCATGCTTC